AGATGAAGATGTTGATATAGATAAGATATAAAGTAAGTAACAAATAAATGAAGTCACTAAATTTAATATATCCAAATATATTGACTTTTATGAGATACTTTTGTGACTCGAAATAGCGTTGTACAAATGCAGATTGTCAGGTGGCAGGAACCTGATCTGTGCTTAAGATCTAAACTAAATCTTCACCAATAATAGAATAATAGTACATTAGTACATTATTCCGTCAAACAAAATCGCAAAATTCTACTCTTCATTCTCTATTCATCTCCGACATGACTGAGGCCGCTAGTGTTGGTGGATTATAAGAAGAACAATAATCTACATTTGAGTTCCATTACCTAAATGCCCTAAATAATTCAAAACTCTGTTTCATATTAAATTTAAATACTTATTTTATTTCCAAAATTTATTCCTAACAAAACCCATAAAATATCGCAAAATTGTATTGTTGAATTGAAAGTGCTCCATATCCTGACAATAAAAATGAATGAACGTAAAAAAGAATAATAAAGAGTAAGGAAAGAAGAAGTGTTTTTCGAAACTGTGGCATCATGAAAAAAGTGAATATGGTATATGTATATGGAGGGCGTCTGCAAGGGGAGCAATGCCAAAGGAAAGGAATATTCTGCAGTACCCATGCGATTGTGGATGCGATTGTGAATGTAATTCATGCATTCATGACACATGCACATACAAATGTTGCCACTAATGATGTTGTGCTTTCGGTTGATGTTGCCATACTTTGTTTGCTGCTTTCGCTTACTTGTTGGCATCACTGCCAAATTCAATGAATTTTAAATTTATCTGCTTTGCACCCTGCAACCGGCAACCAGCAACCTGCAACCTGTACGCTGTGCCGCCGCCCTTGCCCGGACATTTAACGTTCTGTATAATGTATCTTTCGCAGCTGAAAAATAAAAATAAAGGAGAAAGAAACATAAGATAAAAATACAAATTTCAACATAAAGAAGTATAAACGTATAATATGTAAAAGTAACTTACGATTTATTCTTCTACGCCAACACGTTTTGTATTGGCGTTTATGTGGGTGAGTGGGTTGCCAGTTTAGTTGGCTGAATGGTTGGCTTGACTGGCTGGTTTCTTGATTGGATGATTAGATTGGGGAACGTCATGCATTATTTTTATTATTATTATTATTATTATTTCGAAAAGCATACAAGAAAATCGATGATGCAAGTGTTTTCAAGCGGAAGTTGCAACAAAACTGAAAATACATATAAATTAGTTTTAAAATATATTTATGTTTTTCATATGAAAAGCGGAAGGAAGCTTATATTTTGTTGTGGTAAATGCATTTGAATGCATTGACAATATATGGTATGTAAGTCACTTCCACGGATATTACAGCTATTTTGAATATTTTGTTCCATATTTTTTTAAATAGAGAATCACGTAAATAGTTTTGAAAAGGAATTGATTATTAGTTTTTTCATCGCAATTAAATTACAGTCTTATTTTTATAATGTTCATATATATTACAAACATTATTTTATATGATTACTCGAATGGAGGTTGTATGCTTTATGAAGATTTCGAAAAGTTTAAAATAGTACTTCAAAATATTCAAATATTTATACGTTCGGATACTTTCGAATATTATAGTTATCGAGTTCCTCAAACATCAGATCTCCTCTATGTTTTATATTATTTCCGTATTGTTTTATACAAATCCCTATTATTCGAACATAATATTCGAACATATTCGAGCGATTTGGAATTGATCTCAGCAAAAGCATAGCCTAACAATAAAACCTTTGAAGCCTATAATAGCTGAAATCTATATGAAATAATATTTTGAAAATAACATATACTATCAAACTACTAAAGAAAAAATGTAGATTATCCACAGATTCCAATTCTTCCAATAATATAACTAGGAAAATTTTTTTTTTTAATCAATAGTAGATTTTCCCCATAGTGCCACGAGTTGAAGTATAGAGTTATGAAAAAAGTTGATATTATTTATACATATATAACTTAGATTTTATTTATTTTGAACCGAAGTGATATGTATGTATGTATATATATCCATCTTCATAGTTTTTATAAATGTGCTCAAACGACATTATAGAAATTAAAACTATAATGCATCAGTAATAATATCCCAAAATATAATAAATTTTGGGAGTATAACACTAATCCAGACCTTGTGTTGCTTCTGTCATAAAAGCTGACTTGATATTTCAAAATAATGGATCGCTACATGTCCATTTTAGATGGAAAACTTGTTGATAAATGGGGTTCGACAAGTACTCATTTACTTAACAATTAAAGAATTAAAATGAACTCTGCAAGCATAACATGAATTAGTAGAACCACGACCAATTGTTAATCTTCATTACCCCCACCTGATGAATACAAACCTATTCAATCCAATGATATGCTGGACCATATAGATTGTGCCCTATAACATGTGCTCGTAAAGAAATTTTCAAGGGTATGTTTACATTTGTTGCATGGCTTCTACTGAATATTATTTTATTTGAACTTTGCATCTCTTCATGTTGTCTCTTATATTTTTTTCAGGAGTACATACTATACATATATATGTATGTATGTATAGTCTTGATCAGCTCGTTGGGACGACTTAATTATTAATATTCAAAAAAAATTTGGTAGAAAATGTATGTACATATACATACATACATATGTGCATATATTTATATTTGTGTACCATCGCTTATATTTGTATGTACATAGATATGGATATGCATATAATGTAAAATTTAAAACCAAATCCAGGTGTTTATTATACAAAAAAATCTGTAATCAACTATTACCGTTATGATTTCTCATTTAAGGCAATAGTCAGCCGGTAATTTTGAATAGCAGAAAGAACTGTGTCGCCAAGTCTCAAATGACATAGAAAAAGAGTATAAAGCGAAACAAATATTTTTCTCTAGCAATTAATTCTCTTCTCTTTAAGAAATTAGTCGAATTCGCCGCAATTTATGTGTCTGTGCTCACATCCATATTCTTGACATCTTGAACAGCATTCATACCCTGTTGACACCAAAAAATAGTGACCCTTACATTTTAAATTAATTTGGTATTATGTAGGACACTTATGGCCGAACATTTGTTTTGTTACTTTGTAGTTCTGTGAGAGCAGTTATATGATAAATTTTTATAAAAAAATTTTCTCTTTTCACCTCATATGAATGTGACAGAAATATATAAGAACAATACATTAATGTACTATGAAATTAATATATATCGTCTATACGGCATTCCAACGCGATTATGTCCAATTGAATTTTAAAACAAATCCGAATGAAGTGAAATTATAAGTGTTTTAATCCCAAATATATCCTTAAGAGTATGATGAAAATTTGGCAATACTCGAAACAGCTGTATGGTCAGACAACACTTCAGTTAATTAATATACTATAAAAAGAATTGTTGTTATTGTAGTTTACCACAACAAAAATTGCGAAACTTCTCTATCAAGTGCAATAGTTTCTACTAAGAAAAGTAGACGCTACCGTTATAACTGACGTTATAAATTAAATGAAATTACAATTTAAATAAGTGTTAATTTAATATAATATAATTAATAGAGACTTCATCCCTTATTCAGTGATATAGACAAATTTGTCAAAAAAAAAACTCAACCACCTAGTATTTTTCACCACACTATGGTGAAAAGTTTTTGTACACAAAAATCAAAAGCAGTGTGTTGACCAGATATTATATTATATCATTTATATTATATTTATATCATACTTTTATTTTTTTAAATTCATTACTAGCTATTTATAATTTTTTTACGCATATAAATAACAACAGAAGAGGCTTTGTCAAGAGTATTTGCGATCTTGACAATTTATCCAGAAAATTGATCTTCCTCCTCTTGAAGAAGATTCACCCTTCTGTAGGGTGAATAATTATCAATACTTGACACATATGTCAAGTTCACAGAGTAGGTCCGTTAATGTGACATGGTCCATCATAATTTCTTCATGTTTATGTGTAGTGGCGATATATTGTGTGAATATTATTAATATATTCATTAAATTGGATTGGTTATTAATTGAACTCTTAATGAATATAACTCACATATAAGCTAATGTTTGAAATACAAGTTCCGCCAAGAAGAGTGTTTTTATTATAAATATTTTTTATATATTATACAATAAACCAATTTCTGTTTATATATAAAAAATCATATCATGCCAGCAATATTTTTGTATATGGCAATGATGGTTTACTAATTCGCCGCTCTCTCACAAAAAAATGATATTTGCTTCTGGAAAAAAAGTCGGTGCAAATCTCACTGTTCGTTTAGCTTTCAGAAGTGACGGTGGTAGTTAATGTTGCGAAGTTAGTTTAAATTTAAGTCTTGGCGGCTTGGTTCAAGTACTTACTTAACACGTAGTGAAAAAGATAATGGATCAAAAACTTATAACAAACTCTTTCGTTGATAATATCAAACAATCGCCTACTTTTCTTTTGCAACCAATAATACAATTAGGTTTAAGTGAATCGGGTAAGGTGACGATTGCAACTACTGCCGGTTAGAATATGGAGAGTGTGTCGTACATAGTTTAAAAAAGAAATATATATATCAATATATATATATATATATATATATGTAAATTAAAATATTGTTGTTTAAGTTATTTTTCCAATTTCAAGAAACATTAAGAACACTAAATTTTATGCCATAAAATAAATTTTTCATCAAATTTGCTTCCCTTCCCTCTGATTATAAGCATCTCTACACCATTTCAATAGATAAAATTGCATTCACATTTAAGTAAATTAATTCCATAAATAATAATAAGTAATAAACTGTATAAGTAATAAGTAATAAACTATATATTTTTAAGCCTATCTATTCTTATTTCTATCTATACATAGATATATCTGAGAATCTATAGATGTAGATATTGGGGAAATCAACCCATATATTATTATGTAGCTGTAGCTGCTGATGTGCCATTTTACTATTTAAAGTGTTTTGCTTATATTTTCAGAACGTAAACTGTTTGTGGGTATGCTCAATAAGAAGTTGACCGAGAACGACGTACGCAAATTGTTTGAAGTTCACGGCGCTATAGAGGAGTGCACAGTACTTAGAGATCAGAACGGTGTGAGCAAAGGTTGCGCATTCGTAACGTTCGCTACAAAGCACGCAGCTGTATCGGCGATAAAAGTAGTAATGCCATTTTTTTATTTTAATAATTAAACATACTTCTATTAAAAACAATTTAAATATTTATATATTCTTGCATGCTCTTATAAGCATTCTTCTTGGCTATTATATATATTTCTTATTTTAGACTTTGAATCAAAACAAAACTATGGAAGGCTGCTCTTCTCCATTAGTTGTTAAATTTGCTGATACCCAGAAGGAGAAAGAACAGAAAAAGATTCAACAAATGCAAGCAAACCTTTGGAATTTGGCGACCAATATCAACATACCACTGGGTCAAACACCCACTACGGTTTCGACGCCTATGCTGCCAAATCCACCTCAACAAGCAAGTCCAGTCCTGGGGGCTGACGCAATAACGCCATCCTCGTTACAATTGTTGCAGCAATTGCAGGCTGTTGGATTGCAGCAACAATTTTTACAAGGTACATATGCTCTTATTAAATAATATATACATATTTTTTTATTTTACATTATAATTTTTTTTTTTGTATTTTATTTTATAATTTTTTTTTTTGATATATTATTTTATAATTTTTTTTTTGATATATTATTTTATAATTTTTATTTTTTTGGTATTTTATTTTATAATTTTTTTTTTTTTGGTGTTTTATTTTATATTTTTCTTTTTTTGGTATTTTATTTTATATTTTTGCTTTTTTATTTTATATTTTTTTTGTTTTGTATTTTATTTTATAATTTTGTTTTTATATTTTATTTTATTTTATATTTTTTTGTATTTAAAGTTATATTTTTTTTGTTTTTAATTTTATATTTTTTTTGTATTTAATTTTATATTTTTTTTGTATTTAATTTTATATTTTTTTTTGTATTTTATTTTATAATTTTTTTTTTGTATTTTATTTTATAATTTTTTTTTTATATTTTATTTTATATTTCTTTTTTGTATTTTATTTTATATTTTTTTTTTGTATTTTATTATTTTTTATAATTTTTATTTTTTTTTGTATTTTATTTTATAATTTTTATTATAATTATATTTTTTTTGTATTTTATTTATAATTTTTATTATAATTATAATTTTTTTTTGTATTTTATTTTATAATTTTTATAAATTATATTTTTTTTTGTATTTTATTTTATAATTTTATTATAAATTATTATTTTTTTTTTTGGTATTTTATTTTATATTTTTATTTTTTGGCATTTTATTTTATAATTTTTTTTTGGTATTTTGTTTTAAAATTCTTTTTTTTTTGTATATTATTTTATAGATTTTATTTTTTTATTATATAAATATTACTTTATCTTATTTTACAAATATTTTTTTATTTTATTTTGTGTTTTTTATATATTTGTATGTACTAATTGAATATTTTTAAGCGTGTTGTGTGGTGTAATTTTCTTATTATAAAATGTTCTTCGTGTAGGATTGAGTGCTCAAACCAGTACAACCGATGCTGCTACTGCAGCTGCTGCTGCAGCGGGATTGTTGCCAGCAATGAGTGTTCAAAGTTTGGCTGCACTCGCGGCATTCTCATCTAATCCAGCTTTAGCTGGGTCTGCAGCAAATCCTAGTGGTGCGCAATTGACGAACACGGCTGCTTTACTATGTAAGTTCACATTCATCTATTTGAATATTTTATTTTTTTATATAATTTTATTAAAAATAAAATAAAATAATTTTTCAATTTTTGATATACTTATATGTAGGGTCCTTAATATCCAGAGTTATTATTTCAATTATGGACCTGAAATTTCGGTACCCAATATTCAGAGTTTTCGTATAGATAAAAAAAAACGCATTATATTTTAATAAATAATATTTTCGCTGAAGTAATATGAAATATAACATTAAATGACTTAATTTAATTTAGCTGGATGAGAGAGAAAAAATAAATTTTATTTTTATTTGAATATATATTTATTTCCGCTCATGTATATATTAGATAATATACTCAATTGTATTTTTTATTTTCATTCAGTAACTTAATATGTATTTGTAATAGTTCTGCTATATTTGTAGGGATAGTGTTATATTTGTATACCTCATAAATTTTTAACTTGATTCTTTGATTCAAAAATGTGTTCCATATTTTAATATTATCGAAATACAGAAAAAAACTTCAGACGCAATACCGTCCATATCTCAGGAACTCTTCACAAAAATTACTCATGCAGTAATTGCACTTTTAAGTCCTTTAAATATCCTTTAAGATTAAAATGAATAAAGAATACTGATAATTTATATTTAAAAATATATTGAGAAGGTATACAAGAAATAACCTAATATATATATTCATATATTATATATTATTACTTTATATTTATGTTTTTTTTTATATTCTCTTCCTATTATTTTTACATGCCTTCCAACAGGCCTCTTAGGGAAAACTGCCAGTACAGGTGAGAAAATATAGTGTCCATTTTTTTTTGTTTCAATTGAAACTTTTGTTTTTTTTTGTTGTACCACGTCTCATATATCACTAATTGATTTATGAATATTTCGTCTTAGATTGCTTTTGTTTTGCAAATACATTTTATATCATAAATATTATAAATATTGCTCGTCTAAAATATCTTAACCATATTTTATATAGAAATGTTTTATTATTGGATTTATATTGTTTTGGAATGTCACGTTCAAATGTTTTTAGCTAGCAAGCCGAGTGTGTTTCTGTGTTCATTGTCGTAGACAAGGTATTTAGTATTGAAATGGTGCTCATATGTTTATTAGCGAAGACCTCAATTCAGGTATATCTGAGATACTCAACTTTATAAGAAGGACGTAAAATTTACTCCTTTTAATAGAAATCATTAAATTTGATTCATACATCACATGTTTTCCATGTATGCACAGAGAGATACCATTTTTGTCGTGTTTTGTTGTTACTTCTGTCGTTCTAGTGTCTTCAGAGGGAGATATCTTTACTTTCCTTGTGATCGGTTATTTTTTCAATGTCAATGTTTGTTTTAGTTGCTACGACGGGAATGGAAAATTTTACGTAGTCGTCGATTGAATGTGTCTTCGTTGGATGTATCTCTTGGTAGATGAACAAGTCCTCTTTGGCGAAGTTATGCTTAAGGTTTTATAAATCGAAAGAGTTTTTTGTATGCATTCAAAATGAAATAGATTTATTAGAGTTATCTATATTAACTTTATAAAGTATTTTTTTTTCTTATAATATTCGTATGAGGTTAGTATATATTAATATAGAATGGTGAATGCATTAGTCCTCAAAAGATCTATTTCTATTGATAGGGTATTGTGTGCTATTGGCGCTTAGAACCAGGATCTATTCTAGTTTTTCTTTTATTTAGTTTTTGTTGTGTTAATGAGTAAATGAAAAGAAATGTGGCTGTGTTAATGAATTATACAGTTTTTATCTATAAAGCGCAAATTACATATCAAAAATTTTTGACAATAATTGGTTCTATTACACATCAAGCCAGTCCACATTATTTTAAACACGCCCCAGCAAAAGAAAAAAAAAATATACTACAAAATAAAATCATGCATCAATATCATGAATCAAATATCTTTCTAGCCAGAGCACTTACCTACTTCCATTTGCTGCCCTTTTATGAGCTCATTCGGTACACGTTGCCAATGCGTAGCGGATCATAGATCTTCGAAAGAGTTTTTCACTTGAATCCGTCTAACACCTTCTCTCCACTGTTGATTATTGTTTATGATGTTTTTTTCCCACAAGTATGTACTGGGCTTTATATAGGGTTTTATTTTATCCCAGGACTGTGATTTGTAGTTTTTTTAAATAGCAACAAATTTGTGTTAAAAATCTAGGGGAACTTGAAAAAACAAGAAGTTTAAGTAGGTGAAAACTGTTGATGCTTTCCGAAAACGGTAAAACTTACACTTTAATAGGACAGTAATAACTGATATTAGAAATGAAATACAAGACTTTTTTAAGTGTGTATAGTCTTTAGCACAGGTATTATCTGGGTTGTTTGCATTAGATTAAGACATGCAGTGGAGACAAATGTCTGTTAAAAAATAATGCAATTATTTCACAAATTTTTGTTTTAAAAATTGTGTTGTCTTTTAAAAGAATTCAATTTATGTAAATAGTTATCCGTATATATAATATGTAATTGCTCATAGCTCTGATTCTTTTATCTTTTTAATATTTCCAATTTTGTAGCTATAACGAAATGTTTTCAGCAAATATATAAATATTATATATGTATTCCTTTGAATTTTGAATTAATACTAGAATATGTTCTGCTATTTCCTATTCCAGGGCCTGAACCTAATTCCTTGGCTGCCGCCTTTATGCAATCGGCAGCTGGCCTACCATTTGGAACGGCTAGCCTATCTGCAACACCATTAGGAAGTGTTTCGTTAAGTACTGCAGCAGCTGCAGCAGCAGGCAAACAAATTGAGGGTAAGTACGATATAATCCATTTTCTTTAGCTTATTAATAGTAATATTAGTAGGTTTTATATATCCATATGATACCCTTTAAAATTCAAAATACAATGTAGACAGTATATGAGCAATTGAATAGTTGCTTAAAAACACTATATAATGCTTTAAATATCTATCTTTACCTGTATCTGACTATATACAATCTAAGTGAAAGTGCGTTCCAATTATAATAGGTATTTTCAAGAAACTCAAATATTTGACTAATTGTGTGGTAAAAGAAAAAAAAAAACACCAATGGGTAAATAGCAATTGGTATAGTGTTGTTTGACAAATAATATATTAATCTTACTATATGATAGTATATATGGAAACACACAATATTGGAACTAGATGAATTCTCTTATTTGTTGTTCTATGACTAATTGTTTTTGTACTAAATAATTAACCTTGAGTCCATTCAATGTATAAAATTATAGAATGTCATCAGACACTGCAATTTGACACAAGTAATTGTTACACAAGGCGAACGAACACCATGTTGCATCTGTAGATAATATTCGAGAATCTCCATTTTTACGGTAATATGACAATACATCCTTTTCTGTAAAAATGAAACTTTTGTTTTAATATTCCACAAATCTATTAAAAGTCAATTTTTTAATATCTGCTAATTGTATCTAACTTTAATACTAAGGATACCAAGATCTAAAGGCGCATTTTCTTACTTTCCATAAAGCTCTGTTTTCTCCAAATAGTCTTAGAACATCATATATTTTTAGATAACATACTTGAAGAAGGGTTGTATATGTTTTGAATTTATTATATTTTAAATAGAAAAACACAGTAATGGTGTTAAAACGATATAACATAATTTCACGCCCCTTTCTATTCGTGAAACCCTATCCTATCGAAACTAAACAATAAACGCGCAATTGTTATATGCAATATGGTTCGGGTAGGATATAAAATAGTCTAAATTAGTTCTGGATCGGGAAAATTGCTGTGTATTATGGAGGTTTGGTTTAATAAAATATTTCATGTTTGTGGCACCATCGGAATACATTGGAAATGGTATGACCAATTAAAAATGGAATTCATCAGCTGATTTGGAATATATTACTAACTGTCTTATACATGCACTATTGATCCTACGTTTCAGTAAAGCTACGGTGTTGCGTGCTTCACACCTCATGTCTCCCATACCCAATAGTTTTTAAGAAATCGTTGTCTTATTATAGTTGCGTTGTTACGAAGACGTGAAAGAGATGAAGGACGGTGCGGTGGTAATAGTGAGTGTATAATCGTGGACTGATGCAAAAATAGCACATGTAACAGGCGAAATAAATGGTGATATTTTTTATGTTTGGTTAGTGACTCTCATTGATGAATGCTGAGTTGTAATTGACAGGTATTCATAATGCTAAGTAATGGGAGGAGGCAAATGTATTGTTTCGTATGTGATATTTGTGTAGGATTTTCTACTCAACACATATCACTATCATAATTATATTACCATAGCAACATAATAGTCTCAAACTTCAATACAGCAAATTAATTGTGCGGTATGTTGTGCTTTTATTGGGTGAGTGCCTAAATTGTGGTGTCCTTATGAATGAGTGTATAGTCACTGAATTACACTTACTGTGCGTCAATAAAGTGTCATTGTTCGTTTCAATTACGTTTAATAATTATACAGAGGTCGTGTTTATTTTATCAAACATGTCGTATAGAGTTTCGCTTCGAAACAGTAGTGCTAGTATTATTGTGGTCATTTATCTATTATGAGTTATCTAAACTGCTCTCAATTTGAAAACAGGTATGAATGAGGAGTGAGTATTTCCTTTCGGTTCGTCTAAAAAGCAACAAACACACTACTATATAGTAATTCATTCTGCTTCAATTTGAATAATATTATTATGGTGTTATTGTTTTTCGTAACTGGATTAATTGTCCTGTAACTGATTTGTTGCATTACAAACTCTTACGAAAATTCAACAATATGCCATCTAAAAAGAGAGCATCATTGCATCATTAATGAATTTGTAATCTTTAAGCTTCACACAGAGGATTTGTGGCCTCACATTAGTAATTCGGAAATGAATAAATGAAATAGCATCAGCATGTAGCGAGATTCTGCGTTTCCTTCGTATATTATTCCCTTATATACACATTGTGCAAAGTACTTATCATCCATCTCATAGCAATCGAAGCGATTGTGTGTCTACAAAGCAAACGGAATCTGTATTAATTGGCATAATTAAAATACTATTTGAAGTCGAATTGAACTAAATTTCAAGCTAACATATTGAATATGTACTGTAGTGTAATGGTTTTGTTCTTCTCCGTGTTCAGGTAATGAATACCCGCCAATTAATTACAATTTCAGTATTCCATTGTTGTGTAAGGAAATGCTTATTATGGGGAAGAAATGGGTGTGCTGTTGCTCTGTTGTCCTATATAACACAACAAATTATTGCCCTGTATATGCCAATTATACTTTCTAGGTAATTCTATATATTGATAAACAAATATTATATTTTGAAAATTTGTGGCCTTTCTATAATGCAATTATATATAAAGTCTAATGTTGATGTTATTCAAAATAAAGTTTCGTCCTTACCTCTGGGTTAAAGCACAAAATATGAATTGGGACTTGATATCTATTGGAGGAGATAGTTTTGTTTACAGAAATCAAAGTAATAATCAAATATCACCATAAAACACAACCAACTATAACAAGAAATCAAGGTTAATTTATATATGTTTAATATCATGTTCCCACTGCAGATAAGTCAATTTATATTATTCAAATTAAGATTTTTGACCGTTTCCATTGGCATAAGTTGATTTATGCATATGAAAGAACTTTTATATCTTAAAAAGCTCTGTACAAGTTCTGGGAGAGCTTTTGTTTGTTTATATTGCAATTGTTAGCAGTTAACTTTGTGTCGTTAACAGAAATTATGAATTAATCATGAAAAATGCAAAAAATTTTATGGATAGTATTTATTTAAAAAAAAATTAAAGTTTGTTGGACTTAATTATTTTTGTTTATTTATATTTCCTTTAATGTGTCAAATATGTCCAAAATTTCGATAATAATTTCCCTTTTTGTATATATATTTTGCAATGTTGTGTTTGACATTTTTTGAATTGATTTCCTCTAATTTATTCTACACTATAAGTTGCAAATCAACTTCATTAGCAACCTAAATCCAATAAACTGCTTTAATGAAAGCAATGGAAACATACTATAAGTCTTATTGTAGAAACGCGTTTCCAAAACTGAAATTTACATTAGATTTTTTTTGCCCTCGTTTACACTATAATCCGATATTTACATATCATAGAGCTTATATTTTCCGCAATAAAATCTTACGTTTACAAGTAAGCGACGACTAACGAATCGTTATCTATTACATAGACTAAAATATGAAGAAACATATTCTCCATTGGAAGTTTTTTCTATAATTTTCAATAGCAGCTACGCGTGTTTTAGATTCTAGAATTTTATTATCTCCTCTTTGTTTTTAATTATTATCTTTATATCCAGAATTGATGTGCTTCAACTTCACAGCCACGTATTGAAACCAACGTCAGTAGACGCACGATAAGTAGCTCTTGACGATAGTGATGTAAGTGTGTTCTTCCACATCGCATTACCAACATTAAGAGATTACTAATTTAATCTAAAGCGGATGCGTATGTAACAAATTAAATAATATTGAAACGAAGAATGTCATATAGCATTGAGTATGACTATGCCCTGCCACCTAAGTGCTACATCCCAACACTTTGTTCAAAGGCATCCTTGTGACAACAGCTGTAAGTTTGTTTACCGATTTTAATTTTGTGCGCCACAGTGGTGGTGTGCCAAGTGCGTGGTGTGCCTGGTTACTTCTTAATATAAGTTTATTTCCCGTTCTTAAATTTGCAAAATAAATTGCAGATTTTTGGATTTTATCGTAAGCCAGCCGCCGAACACATATCCCTCACATCATCTTTCTTCTTACTGTTCTTATCACATTAACATATTTTGCTTGTTATTCTGCTTTTCATTAAGGAGGAGCAGGCAGACCGTGCTACGTGTTATCTTCCTACTTTATTGCGTCAATGTGATTTGTAAACGTTTTGTCTTATACTCGTAATTGGGAAATTGCGCGTGGAGGTGTTAAGATAAGACTCAAATGTTCTGGGGTTAGAAATCAAACACATTTCCACTGAGAGGCAGCATCATCAGTGTTGGTTTTAAGAAGTTAAAGTTCTTCTATTTTCAAATTTTTGTTTGTTTTTAATCTTTCTTTTTTTTTTTTTTTTTTTTTTTTTTTTTTTTTTTTTTTTAATCTTGACATTAAATATTGTGATTTAAATAGTTTCAAAGAGTGCTATTACGTCCATTATTTCTTATAACCCATTATATCTTATTACCCATTATTTCTTCTTAGGTTTCTGGATGAAGCTAAAAAGTGTGAATATATATATATATACGGTTTTCCCGATATCTCTATGTTTCGAAACTGAACGTAAATAAAATACACTTGAAATAAAAGTTTCCAACAAATTTTCGCAATTGAGCAGATGACATACAATATCATAAAAATACAAAGATGTACAAAGAACATCTTACACAGTACTCGATTCTTTAGAGGTGATTTATGATGTGTAGTCTGCAAATAGCTGGTAATAACTTGTCCATAAGTTAAAGACATTCACATCGCTATTAAGTGAGTTCACCTCACACGTTTGGAGAATTTCTGTCGTAATAAGTAATAAGTCTAAATCAGGAGATGCAACGTCGTTTGTGACTTCTGAACATCATATATCTTTCAAATACTTAACTTTAATTTCACGCCAAATTAAATTGGTAATCATCTAAATTGGTGGTCCAGACGAAGAGTCACATTATATAGTAACTTTTAATAGATGTTATAGTCTTGTCACTGTTATTTATGCAAGAATTTTAAGTACCTTGTGTGATGCAAAAATTTTGTTTGTTAGTCCAAATATCCAAATATCCAAATCCACTAAGCACATAATCAGCTTCATCACTAAAAAGAAATTCGACCACAGAATTATTTTTATAGCAAGTTGTTGCAATTTTAAGACGTTCAACGGATAAGGGATAATGGAACGAATAACTCCTTAGGTAGGTCCCTAAATCAATATATGGGAAGAAATCTTGCCTGCACCTGCTTTCAAAACTAATAAACTAAATGTGTGAGTGGAGTAGATTCTTGGCGTAGAACTATAAAGAATGAAACTAATAAATCGATAGGTGAAATGAAATATATTGCTCGAGATATATATTGCTCGGGAAAACTTTTGTACAAACTCTTTGTGAATAGGCTAAGTTTATACAATCAAATGTTGTACAGAACATGCCATAATAATAATGATAACCTTCTACACGTGTTCATTTTCTTTATTTTATAAATACCGGATACTTTGCACACAGAATGTAATGTGATATAAGTTAATCTATAATTGTTATTGATTTCAGATAAATAACTAAACATTAAATAAAAACTAAATAAAGAAATAATTTTTATTTTATATAAACTAATTAATAAATTAATTTTTGTTTTTTTTTTTATAATAGGTCCTGAGGGTTGTAACCTTTTTATATATCACTTGCCTCAGGAATTCACAGATACTGATTTGGCAACAACATTTTTACCGTTTGGCAATGTTATATCGGCTAAAGTATTCATAGACAAACAGACTAACTTATCCAAATGTTTTGGTTTTGTATCATTCGATAGTTCAGATGCAGCGCAGGTAGCCATAAAAGCAATGAATGGCTTTCAAGTAGGCACTAAACGCCTTAAGGTGCAACTGAAGAAGCCCAAGGATGCTTCAAAGCCATATTAGTCTACGACAAATAAATCGCTTGCTTCTTCTGATGCTGCTACTGATTACTGATTACTGCAACAAAATTAAGAATTCTAATTAAAATGACGAGGACTTTCCTTTCCTCCTCCGCCGCATTGTTTTATTATCAAAAACAATAATTACAAATATATTTGCATGTACATGTACCGGATTACTAATACCGTCGTATATGCTGTACATGTCCGAAGATGAATCAATCCGCAGCATCAGCAAGAATTCAGCAAATTCATCTGTAAAAGAATCGCAACAACAAATTGATCGTATATATGAGAAAAGTGACAACAAATTGCGCTAAAACTTTGGAAAAATTAAACAAATGCCAATGTACCAATGTACAAATGTACCAATAAAATGAACAACACCACCAACATATCCTGAAATAAGGTACTACCTACTACTACGTGTCCATTACACCTTTGCGTATAAAGCAATTAAAACGGATTTATAGAAGAGGTAGGCGTCATGTTACGTGTAGCTTATTAATGTTATATATATAAAACGAAAAATCCATATTTTGATGAAAATTCAAATCTGGATAATTATTTTGATAAGTCATTTTTCTTCGTTATCATGTTTTTGACAATATTTTAATGTATTTTTATTATTATTATTTTTTTTTTTTTTTTTTGGCTGGCTGATATGGAGTAATTTTTATTTTACTTATACGAAAAATATAGCATAATTTCTACTTTTTGAAAATGTTGTTACCTTTAAAAAAATATAGTAGCAGGAAAAATATTCGATATAAGTTTTCGTACTAATATATGAGCAAATAGATTATTTGTCTAGAGTAAAGATTGGCTGGTACCAGTACACGTTGTTGCTTACTTCAATATACAAATCTAGTAGAAGTTGACTAAGTAAATATAGGTACATATGTGTCTAGGAACGGGCGGTAAAGGGAGGGTGTTGATTTTTGGGAATAAAAAACATTTTTTTTTTGAGTAATTAAAAATAAACTAATAACGATCAGTCAGGTCCAGCTAAGATTAGTCAAGTATGTAGATAGGTCTTTTCCACAGATAAACTTGAGAGTTTATTCAAAAGAATTGTACATATTTTTTTTTGTTTATACTTCTTTATATATTAGCATATATTTTATTTGGGAAAAATATTGTAAAAAAATTTGGACTTGTGTTTTTATTTTTTTTGTTTGTCCTTCATTTGACCATAATTTAGTATATAACTTAGCATCCATTGACTAAAGTACGTCTACTCTAATCTACTTCTACGATTCTGTTATTGTCAACGATTTGACCACCAAGTTTGCCTTTACTACGACTATTACGACTATTATAATACTTGGACCCCCGAATGGCGTTCATTCAATTATAATATAGCATATAGTATCAAATAAAAAAAATAAATTTACTATAGCAAAATGCTCACATTCGTACCCAAATATGATCGAATATTTTTTCTCTACTATTTAAATGAATTAAATATTTTATTGTTGAATTTTTTTTATATTTATTAATTATTAACTAACTATGCTTATAAACTTTATATAAAAAGCGAGTGTTATTTTGAAAGAGTTTTTTTTTATTATTTAAAAAATAATTTTCACGTATTTGTAAGACAATTTTCTTATTTTTAATTTTTAACGAAAAATAAAAGAATAACTCTTTTTTTTGGTTTGTTTTTGTAAAAAAAAATTTCAAATTTTGTTAAAAAAAATTTTTTTTTAATTACACATTAAGTTTTTTCCTCTTGGAAATGTTGAGTTTATATAAAAACAAATTTTGAAGTTTAAAAAAAAAATAATTGTAATTAGTTTTAAGTCTACAGAAAGGAAAATTTATAGAATATACTTACTGAATTTGTTTTGAAATACAATAAAATCAAGGTTGTACACTATGACGAGCAATCAAAAAAAAAAAAAAAAAAAAATTAACTTTTTGTTATATATCATTTGGACAAAAATTTCTTAAAATTCCTTAAAACTTAAAATTTTGTTCTCAGAGAAGACCGCGAAAATATTTTTAATGTTTTCTGTTTGGATTTATTTTTTGTTTTGCAATCTATATTGTAATTTGTTTTACATTACTGTTCTTTGTTTTATATAAATATATATATTCATATGTATGTATGTATGTATGTGTATATTTATATACATATCTATTAACTTCTATATATTATGTCTTGTTTTTAATATATATGGTTTATAGTCACAGCAAAATGTTTGGCACCAGTATGTGTCTTCCTTCCTCCCTTATTGATAGGATCACAAAGCAGTGGTAATATATAGTACGGTAGTTTGGCCTTTTGGACTGTAAGATTTATAGATCATTTGAACGTATCATTTTTCACTATAGCATCGTCGAATAAACATATAATACCTATGTATATAATAGGTATAAAGCAGTTTATATCTCAAGTATATCTCAAGTTCTTAAAATTTATTAGGAGTGTTAATTCTATATAGATGGATTATATCTAATACAATTGTTGCTGCTATATCCATAATTTTAATCTTTAGGAAACGCATATGACATTTATTTTAGCGTATTCAGTTGGGTTGGGTTGGGTTATCTAGTATAAGATCAATAGATTATTCTTTGAATTAGTTTTTCCGTAGAATAAAATAACATATAGTCTTGTTTTTTTTTTTAACAAACTAAAGTAATGATATAAAGAATTAGAAATCAAGTGAGAGACTGATCTATTGTGATTAAAACCCTAAAACTGCAAATATAAATCGAGGAGGAGGCGTTTATTCAACGTCCGTATTATGCATTACTTAATATCTTGCATTTTATGATTTTTGATGTTATAGTGAAAATGGAATTTCAAATTATTGCTTTGATAAAACGAAGATATGGTACATGCACACTACTCAAGAATGTTTTATTTTAATTTTTTATTCTATTTTTTTCAATTTCATGTTATTTTATTTCTTTATTTATTTTATTTTATTTCTTTATTTATTTTATTTTATCTTTTGTTTTTTTTATTACTTTTGTTTTTTTATTTTTTTGTTTTTAATTTTTTTGTTTTTTTATTGTTTTGTTTTTTTATTGTTTTGTTTTTTATTTTTTTTGCTTTTTATTTTTTTTGTTTTTTATTTTTTTTGCTTTTTATTTTTTTTGTTTTTTATTTTTTTGTTTTTTATTTCTTATTTTTTTGTTTATTTTTTTGCTTTTTTTATATGTTTTTATTTTTTGTTTATATTTTGCGAATCTGCATTTTGTTATTCTCGTCCTCAACTATAAAGATATGTTCCGACGATTTATCTGTAAAAATATTTTGAATGAATTGGTTCACACAACTTATTCCAAGTGAGTTGGAGATCACGACAGGAGATCAGTCTTACAAAGAGAATTATTTTTAATTTAAAGACTATCTTCATTTTAACTTATCGATTATTATATTGAGGTGTGAAAATAATTGTGTGAACGATTTTTATTCTCTACTCACATCAACGGGAATAAATGAAAGTTATCGAGTCCAGTAAATTTAGTTTTATTATTTTTATAGTATTCCCAATATTTTCAAAAGTGTTTACATATGCTCAGCATTAGTTGTGCCAAATCTATAAGAATTTGGTTCTAATAAAAATTAATAGATTTAAGTTGCAGAGTTAACACTTTTATTTAAGTTAAAATGGATGGAAACATGGAAGAGTACATTCATTTTATGAAACTGTTGACCAATATATGTTTTTGGAACTTTTCAGCGAAGCCAGAAATTTGTGGAAGTATTCATTAAAAACCCATAAAAAGCTTTAATGCTAGAAGTGATGCGAACGAGTTATAATAGAAGGGTATTTAAATGTCGGATCCAACCGACTATATATTGTTTTTTTTTCATAATCATTAACATTATAAAATATTTTGTTTTTTTTATTTATGTGTTAGAACAATACAATTCATTAGATAATAAATCTATTCTGTCAAAATGTCCATTAAACAAAATGTTAATATAGATTAACTAGCATGTATGATATATTAATGTACTAATGTTGTTTTTGTAAGCCATGCCAGTTCACTTTAGAGTCCTTGTTGTACCAAAGAAAAATCATCTTACGGGGGTTGGGGTATATCATATACTGTAATTAGTATTATAGCATATATACAATTTACATTAAAGGTAAATAAGGTTGTGGCAATAACATTATTGAGTCTTATTTGAGACGCTCCGAGTTAATTAATTTTTATTTCAACTAATTTTGTCATTTTATTTTATTTTCTTTTAATTATTTTACATAACTGCAGATGCAGGTTTCTGCTTTGCTAATCAATCTAATATTTTTATATTCACATTTCTTTTTTATTTAGTAAATGTTTAGTAGATTTTTTTTGTTTAAATGTAAATCTTTTGATTTTTTTTTGGGATTTTTAATTAAATGCTTTCAACTTTGTGTTTAGAGTAGTTGTGAGTTCACTTATTTAATTATTTTTAATTGGTGAAAAAAAAAAATTTATTTTTATTTTTTTATTATTATATAATAGTTTATATTACTTTTTTTTTAAATTATAAAGTAAATGTTTTTTTTTGTATATTTAACTTTTTTTAATCATTAAGTAATTTTTTTTTTAGTTTTAAAGTATCATTTTTTTTAAATTAATTTTAATTTTAAAATTTAATTTTATTAAATTTTAATATTTTTTTTTTTTAAATTTTATAGCAATATTTTTTTTTTTAAATTTTATAGCAATATTTTTTTTTTTAAATTTTTAAGTATTATTTTTCTTTTTTTTATTTTTCTTTCTTTTATTTTTCTTTCTTTTATTTTTCTTTTTTTTCTTTTTTTTTATTTTTCTTTTTTTTATTTTTCTCTTTTTTTATTTTTCTTTTTTTTATCTTTTTTTTTTTTATTTTTTTATTTTTTTTATTTTTTATTTTTCTTTTTATTTTTTATTTTTTTTTATTTTTTATTTTTTTTATTTTTTATTTTTTTTTTTTATATTTTTTTTTATTTTTTTTTATTTTATTTTTTTTTATTTTTTTTATTTTTTTATTTATTTTCTTTTATTTATTTTTTTATTATTTTATTATTTTTTTTGATTTTTAGTATTATTTCTTTTTTTTAATTTTCAAGTATTTTTTTTGTAATTTTAGAATTATATTAGTTTTTTTTTTTTGATTTTTAAGTATTTGTTTTGTTTGTTTTATTTTGATATATATTGTATTTTATATATAATTACAGTTATTTGTCATTTTGATATTACTTCTTGTCTCCACTAATATTTTTAGTATGAGTTCTATTATTAGCTTTCTTAATGTAATATTAAAAATATAATATTTTCTTATATACTTTCAATGTTCAATATAA